AATCCCCAACATGCACCCAACAACCCACCTCTGCCACTACCAGGACTCCCCAGTACTCACCTCACAGGGGCTCTAGCTGGACTATGTCTCAAATGGATGCTGTATTAGGGTTTCACTAGAGGAACAGAATCAATATAAAACACATATTTGGGGGGCCTCCGGGTCAATGATCTTGTCTTCTCTTCCACTGCTCTGTTGAGGGCGATGGATTAAGGGATTCTGAATGTCTTTACAGGAGTCGTTTGCAGCCTAGTGGAAGTGCTTTCTGTCCTCAGTGGGTGAAGAGGACAAAAGGTCTGAGGAACACCTACTGTTGGCTTGGTCTTGGCACAGCAAAGGGGATACATTAGCTTGGGTCCTCACACCAGCTGCATCCCACAGTGAAGAACTGCACACATCCTTCCAATGGGCTCCAAGCCTTCCTGGGCCTTAAATTTGGCCTCCATGGCTACCTGAACAGTTTAACTCTCAGATACTTCTCTTCTGCTACATAAAAGATAATCTCCTGGGAGGCCTCATCATTTATTTTCAAAGCTTTGAAAATAAATTTAGGCCTTGTGTTTAGTCCACAATTTAAATAGAACCCCTACTGTGTAGGAGAGTAGATTTAAATATTATTCATGAATTCTTTGAGAATCTGGACAATTGTTTTATCTTCGGCAGAAATTTCAAATGATTATCAAGGAAAGCATGAGTCTTTTTAATAGCTCAGTATGTTTATTTACAAGCCTAGGAGGTGGCAGAAGTTTGCTTTACTGTGCTGGAAGCTGTATTTCAGCAGAACCTTGGCACAGAGAGCATTGGGACCTCCCGATACCACCTTGGGACACTGACTGGGTCCCCAGCTGTGCACCAGGGTGGTCTTCCTTAAGCAGGGTCCACTGTATCTAAGAACCCATCCCAAAATCTCCAAATCTCTTGATTTGGTTTAGAAAGCATACTTGTATGCCTTCATATTTCTAGAAAAGATTAAGACATTTTTTGGCCCCTAGCATTCTTACCAAAAAAGGTACAATATGGTTGAATTTAGGTGAAATCTTGAATAATCATTATTCATGTTCTTTATTGTTATATTTCCTAGTGAAGAAAAGGTAGGTAGCAATACTGTTATTATTCAAAATACCATGGCTTTTCAAAAACTATACTGGAACAACACAGGCCTTGCCTTTCCAGTTCCCTAATTCTATTTTTTTAATGCTATCATCACTCCTGACACTGTATCATCCAAAGTGTCACC